ACACAAACACAATGAAAACACAGTGGAGAATTAACATTTTGATCAAATCAGTCTGACTTTATATTATTAAAATATTTTGGATTCTTTTTTTCAGTTACACATCATAATCGCTCACTAATTTTGTCACATTTGGACCTCCGTATATATTTTATATATCTATTTGCCTCTTCCAAAAACATAATCCAAGCATCCAGTGCTGACGAAATCACTATATCACACAGCATCTGGTAAGTGTTTAACAAATTTTATAAAAGTGACACAAGAGTAGCCCTAAAAGGAGGAATCAGACAGAAGGAAAACAAATAAACAAGATACAAACTGTTTAAATTATATATATATTACATTTACGCCCTTCTTTTTTCTCATTTTGACACAATGTGAGCATCTAAGTAACAACCATCTCCTTTTCATTGTTTCTCCTGCTGTCTCATTCAGCGATCTTCCCACAGGGATCATAGCCTTTTCAGAAAAGACGAGTCATGACACGAGTCTCCCGACAACCTGCCATCTCCTATCGCACTGTTGCTTGTCCTGGCGAACATGTGTGAGTGTAACTCACCAGTGATGATAGCCGGTATGCCCCAGCCCATGGCGTAGTAGAACCTCATGTGACCGTAGTTGATGTTCCGCAGCTCGGTCAGCATGCGGTAGATATGCAGCCCCTCCACGAACATCCAGGCAAAGGTGCACATGTAGAAGTAATGGAGGAGGATGGCGATCACGGTGCACACAAACTGCGAGTTTGTAGGACGGGAGAAAAGAAGAGAGCGCCAGATTTTTAGGTACAGCACAGTATCGGCCACTTTGGTTCTGCAGTACCATTAAATCTATATATGAGTGCACGAATCGTCCAGCCTTTCAAAATAAGACGATTTTCTGTTTGTTCATCTTTGGATATTTGGCAGACAACCATCCAATTTTTGAATATTTTTTAAAATCTTCAAAGTCTTGTCAATAAACTATTCAATTTGTCAAAAAAAGCGATAAATTCATGAACTGACAGTAAACGTTTTTATGTCACAACGTCTTTTCTTACACGGCAATGATTCAAACGGTCCCCACATTCCTGTATCTCCCCTCCTCCCATTTTGAGCTGTCTGGTGCTACAGTAGAAGAATGTGTCAGTGAATGCTGAGATACGGTGTATTTTACTAATGTTTTGTATTGCTGTGGAGATCAGAGAAGAAGAAGGAGAAACTACGTTGACAGCGTTATAAATCATCCCCGGAGATGGCCCTGGGCACACACCGACAGCATTCCACTGCTCTGATGCACGTTTACCTACACACACACCTAAACTTTGCACGCACACTAGCAAGCGCTTACCAAATCAAAGAGATGCAAAAAAAACAGAAAACCCCAAAGAGATTAAACTTTCTCTTTTAAGCATCTCCTTGCAGACTTGGCTTCCACTCCACAAAACAATACTCCATAAAGATAAAGCAGCATGCGCTTTTACCACCTCATCCCAGTCAAAACATGGTGAGTCAGAACATTTGTACAGGACTAAAGACAAAACTCCCAGAACTCATCTGGCGCCTGTAAACTTCTCTTTCGCTGTGGTGCATGTGCACATTTGCACTTTAGGGTAGCCACAGTTGAGAGAAGGGCAGTTAGCGATGAATACCGATACTCAAGCCGGTTCTGTCAGTCAAATCCAACTGTAAGCTCAGCAGTACGTATGTGCGCATGTGTTTATTTTGACATGTGCAGATATCCTTTCCTTTTAGATTTATAGCAGGTTTATCGAAATGTGAAGGGGCTGCTGAATCACTGGTTGTAGGATTCATTTATGGGACCTAACCTTGAAATACGAGGCTGATTTGACGTCTTCTGTCATGTGAATGATGAGGTGTGAGATAGTCGTAAATAAAGCACAACCACCAGAGCTATGCCTCTTGAACAGGCTTCGCTTTCATCCCCGATTCATTACCACTGC